TGAAGGATACTTCGATGCCAACTGGATATCTGATAGAAGTGAATAATTCTCTACAAGTGGATATGTATTTACAATTGGAGGAAATGTTGTGTCTTAAAAATCGACTAAATAGACATTGTAGCCCGATCCTTAATGGAATCCGAGTTTATAGCCTTGGACAAGGTAGGAGAGAAAGCCAAATGGCTTAAAAAACTACTACAGGATATTACATGTTGGAAGAGACATTGTGACAACCTTATGACAATTGAAAGGACACAAAATGTAATGTACAATGGTAAGTCACGGCACATCCATCTTCAACATAATATTGTGCTAGAATTAATCTCACGAGATGTAATTTTGTTAGACTACATGAAGTCTAAGGATAATCTAGAAGATCTGCTGAGTAAAAAGGTTAAATCGAAATCAATTTTTAAAGTTGTTTAGACGAATGAGTTTAAAAATTCACAAGTGAATTATAAATTCACAAGTGAATAAAAAAATAGTGATAAAATAATTATTATTTGTTAAAATATAGTAGGTAATAAAATCACAAGTGAATTATAAATTTTATTTGTATAAATATAACGGATATAAAAAGTTGACATAATTTTGACAAACCATGTGAATATAATTATTTCTTTATATTTATCCAGTACTAGCGGTTGTGGGTTCTCACGTCATAAAAAAATATATATATTAATAAAATATTTGAATAGTTATTTTTAGATGATATTTATCATTTTGAGAAATTTTCAATTATATTTATTGTTAAATATATTGCATAAAATTCATTTATATTGTTATTTTATTCATACAATAGTTTATAAATTTATAATTAAGTTTATATCAAATAATTTTTTTTCTTTTCATTAAAACTAAACGGATATATTTTTAGATAAATTAACACTATATTGATTACTTGGAAGTGTGAGATATTTTACTACAATTCTATTTTTGTTTTCAAATTCTACTTTAATTGAGACTTCAGACTTACTTTGACCTTTGTTTCCTAATGCTGATTTGGTTCTGATGTTTGAATTTGTTTTACTTTTTCAATCGTATCAACTAAGTTACCCTCATATTTATCTATATGATTATCACTGTTTCTTTGTTATTTTATTTTTGCATGAGCCTAAATCTTTTCGAGAAACAAATGCTAATCCATTGTGACGACAATCAATGTATGAAGAATTGCAAGTTTTGGTGAAGATTTATACATCAGACTTGATCTGACTTAGGTAAAATATATTTTGGTTTCAAATGGGTTTTTAAGATCAAACCTAACTCTAATAGATATGTTGAACATTACAAGGCTCGGTTAGTTGTAAGATACTACACACAAGAATATATGACATTGATCATGAGAAGAAATTTGCTTTTGTCACACGCCTTATTTTCATTTGTTGCTTAAGTGTAATTATGGACATTTATAATTTGTTTATACTACAATTGAATGTTAAGAATATATATATATATTTTTTTCATATCTATATTTTTGAGGATTTTTGTATCACATTACTTTTGGGTTCTGCACCTTAATATAAAGTTTACAAGTTGTATGCCCGCGAATAGACACGTTGTGTTTGGTTTGCCAAATTTAGCTAAATTTTATTTAATTTGGCTCCGCTTTCGGTTCACATGATTCTATTTTATTTATTCATCAAAGTTTTTTTTTTTTTTTGGTGATTTTTATTTTACTCATTTATATTAATGATATGATCTTTATTGGGATTATCGATTTAATATATCTGACTTATAAAACTACCTCTAACAGTATTTTAATATGAAGAATGTTGGTGACATTCCCTATTTTTTGGGTCTTGAAATTTCTGACAGTTCTGCCAAGTATACTACTGATTTATTGTCTCATATTGGCCTTCTTGATTGCAAGAAAGCTCCGACCCCCATTGACACAAAATGTCGCCTTATACTGATGGATGAGACTCCTCTTGAAGATCTTCTCTCTATCGTCAGTACATTGGAAGCTTGATTTATTTGACAATCATCACTCAGTTCTGAGTTTTGACTTTTAGGTTGTGTTTGTTTATAATTTTTGTTCCAAATTTTCGTTTTATAATTGCTTTTTTTCAAAAACATTAAATTAAATGCAGACTCTCCTCGTCCCAAAATAATAGTTTCATTTTGCCATTTCGTTCATCTCAAAACAATAGTCTCGTTTATATTTTTGGTAACTAGCTCCCCACCCTTTTACAAAATTATCCCCACTTTTCAAAATAATTACATAAAGTAGGGACATTTTGGTCTTTTAGAAACAATTTTACACTCAATATCAATACAACACTAATATTTCTTAAATTCCGTGCACATCCCAAATGTGTAAAACCCCCGGAGTTGGACCGGTGCTAGGCCAACTCTCGTGGATGAGCCGGTGCCAAACCATTCGAGATTGAATAGTAATTAAATCGATTGAATAAACTACTCATGTCAACAATGTGCATATTTCTTTTCAGAAGCTTTACTAAAAGAACTTCATAATTAAACGTGCTTGCTCTAGTAATTTGGGAATGTGTAACCCCTGGAAAGTTTCTCAAGATGCGCGGGAGTGAGAACAAGGTCACCAAAATGTCTCTATTGTTTTGGGACGGAGGAGTATTTTTTATTTTTATGTTATATTATAAATTAATTTAATAATAAAAATATTAAATCTATAACTATATATTAAATCAAACAATTATTCAAATTAAAATTTTACTATTTAAAACTTCAAACTCAACATCAAACCTACAACCAAACACACTTTAAGATTTTGTAATTTAAGAGTTTATCCTATTGTGTTATTGGAAGAAGAATTTGATTTAAGAGGTGACTGGAAGTGCATATACGATCAATAATCCTACAAAAGGACTTTTAGATACTAAATTACAAATTACGACATTGATATTGCAATATTGATGACATGCCCAACGTGGACCGACTCCAAACGATCCATAATTCACAAGGTTGGTGATGGGCAATTGTGTAGCCTTTGGTTTGATAAGTTTCGATGGTGATTTGAATCAACTTAGAAGTTCATTACATTGTATATTCAGTGATTAGATGTGATACCCTCGAAGTTTGGCCAACTCCCGTGTGTGGATGAACTGATATTAGGTCATTCGAAGTTGATTAGAGGTTAAATGAATTGAATAGACTATTCATCTCAACAATTGATATTTGAGTATAGACCGCTACTTCTTGATGAATCGAATTATAGATTTTGAAAAAAAGAAAAAAAGAAAAAAAAATGTGAACATTTCTTATGTCACATGATGAAGAAGTTTGGGACGTTACAAATAGATTAGAGCAATCTACAAATATCTTGAAAAAGAAGTTCCAAAATAAAGTTTAACACTTACCAACTCAAGTAATAATGAATGAATGAACTCAAGACGAGAAGTAGCAATACAATTTTTGATTCAATTAACCAAGAACATATTAAAATTATTTCCAAGTGTGTCACAATAAGAATCAACCTAAAATGCCTTAAAAATTTTTATACAAAGGTACAACTAATCTTGCCTCAAAATTTGCAAATGATCGAAGATGGAAATATTAGTGCTTACTAAATAAGGTTTAAAAATATTAGTATTAATCAAAATTGAAGCATGAGGAGCAACTCTTTGTATTTTGATGAAGCATAAAACAAGCATTATGCTATTTTTTTATTTACCTTAAAAGTATAGAAAAATACTTCATTGGACCGGTAATAAAAGTTATTTTTTGCATTATTGTATTTAATATTAAAAAAATTATTTTTGTATAATTTATTACACAAATATCATTATATTTGTATTATACGATACTAATAAAAGTATTAAATAGTAGATTTTATGTATTAAGAAATATAATTGTATAAAGATCCCTACATTGTTAATCTTTATTTTCAATTTTATTTTTCTAATATCATTTATACTCATTTATGTCATTGTCTTAAATCAATTTACATATTATTGTAGTCTGTCACATCTTAATTGGCATATGTATATTTTTAATAAATTATACTCATTTTAAATCTATTTAATAAATATAAATAAACTTATGCAATCATATACATTATTTAAAATATCTCTATTTTTACTTTTTTTTTTCGATTAATAAATATTTTTATTTATATATTTTTTTATTTTAAAAAAATTAATTTATAGTAATCATAAATATATATTTATTTATATTATATAAAATTTTATTATATATGAAATCATATTTATATTACGTATTTTTATTGTGATATATATTTTTAAAATATTTAAACATATATTTAATTTTTTAATTATATATATTAATTCTTATTTCAAATACTAACAATATCATTCAAATAAAAATTAAAAAAAAAAATTATAGTAGTATATTATTTTTGATTCATAAATTTCATTATCTTAAATATCATATTATTAAAAAAAAAAATTGTATTACAATCTAAAGCCATCAACTAAAATGAAACAAAAGAATAAAATTTTTATACTCCCTCCATGCTTCATCACATATACCCGCAATATTTTTTATTTTGGTCTGTAATATGTATTCTGTAATATTTTCAAAATAGAAAATAATTAATACACTTTATCTCATCGTATAATTCAAATAATAAAATAAATATATAATTTTTTCTTTCATCTTATGACATAATTTTTACTTTATTCTACTTATTTAAATTTTTGTATTTGTATCAAATCAAATACTACTCTCTCTCTCGCTTTTGTAAGGCCTCATTGACTTTTTATGTGATATAATACAAATTAAAAAAATTGTAAAAATATTTAATGTCTTATAATACTAATAAGAGCATATTTATATAAAAAATTATATAAAGATATTTGTAATATTAAATAAATATGAACGTAAGTTTTATAGAAAATATTATTTATTTAATATTTCAAAAACAAACACAGACCAATGATTAGTGCAGTGCACTAAATAAGCGGAATAGCAAAAAAACAGGGATTTATTTTGAAAATGATTTTCCTTTTGCCTAAAAAGAAAACAAATCAGAGACCAAAAAGGAAAATGAAAAATAAAATAAAATAAACATGAAAAAGAAATCTCCTTCTCTCTCTCTCTCTGAACTTTTTAATGGCGAATGATTCGACCGCAGCATAAAGCTTCCATTGCAGTCTTCTTCTTCAACTAACTTCTATCTTTTTTTTTTGCTTTCTTTGTTTTTCTGAATCTCTCTCTATTGAAAAAGCTAGGGTTTCAACTTCACTCTGCGTTGGTGCTTAGATCATTCCTCCTGTGGGCGCTTGTTGTCGGTTTCATTTGCCGGATTTGATACGGCGGACTGCTGATTGTATTAAAGGTGCGTGTTTGAAAACTTGCTGTTATCTACTTTACGAGTTGAGGTGCAATTGTGTTCTTGGATCGGTTTGATGTGTTCAGAGGATTGCTTTCATTTGTTCTTTTTTGGAATATGAAGCAGGCAGCAGACCATAATTTGTGACTGTATGTTTGTGCGTGTCTATATATATATATATTTGTAAATCCTTTTCCATTTTGGTAGTCTGAGAGTAATTGGAGCAATTGTCGGGGTTGGTCATTTGATTTCTTTTGGTTTTATCGAAATCTAAGCATAGTTTTATCCCCAATTTTCTTTTCTGTCTTTTTTCTTCTTTCATCTTCTTCTTTCATTAATTAGTTATTTCAAACTATCTGATTTGTTTCTTACTTCTGTTGAGAAATATTGCGTTTATGATCATTTTGCTTCTTTGCAACTTCGATATGTTTACCTTTATATTTCTTAACTTTGTGCATATTTATTGAGATTAAAAACAGGGAAGTTCGATTGGGGATTTATATAGTTCATATAGAAATGAATGTTTAGATCAAAACTGTATTTGATTTTAAGATTGGTAATTTTCACCGGCAACAAGAAACCAAGTGGGCATTTGGGTAAACACATTAGAACATTGACTGTTGAATTCTGATTTGTTTGCTGTCGATTTTATTTTTTATTTTTGTATAATTTGGTATGTTAGTGATATATAACTTAGAAATCTAGATTTAATTAATTGCTACTATTAATATCCAAGAATCCCAAAGATGAAAATGGAATTTGGAGCAACAATCATATATCACTGCTTCAGACTCAATAAATATGTCAGACTATACCAAATCTATTTTGTGGGAATAAGAAATGAATCTCAAATTTTCATCAGAAATACAGTATATACGACTTGATTTCCGGTCTCTCTTGTCTGACTGCAATTTGTTTGTTTCTATATGCAGCCTCAGCAAATGTGTTTTTTTCCGTGAATTTGGTGTTTGGTTCTGTAGCTGATGTATACAAAGCTTGCAGCCGGTGACAGAGAGGTATTTAAGGCACTAAAATTGTAGTATTTCAATAGCCAAATTTTCCAAGAGAAGGCTAAGGCAGATGGAACTTGCCAAGTGCTTGTTTGGAAAATCTCGATCAAAAGAGAAATCTAAGAGTTCGAAAAAGAAGAATGAGATTACAACTAACGGCAGAGATGTTACTAAAACACCACCGAATGAGGAAGCTCCTTCTAATGCTACTAAGCAAAAGGCAGCTGCTGCAAAGCAGTATATAGAAAAGCATTACAAGGAGCAGATGAGAAGTTTGCAGGAACGAAGGGAACGGTATAATCTTCTTTTTCGTTTTGTTTTAACGAGTCGTTGTTGCATGCTTAGGAGTGCTGCTTCCTGTATGCACTATTTAATTCATTTATTTCTAAATTTTGTATGGTTGATAATTCTAGATAAACTGGCATTATTCTAATGCTTCATTACAAGATCAATGTTCTTGTGGTTTCTGTTTCTGGTACATTTCTCGGATGGTTTAGGGGACACTCTGCATATTCAAGCTCATGTATTGTAATGAGCAAAATCCACAGCACTTGGTAGATATTTCCTTCGTGTTAAATTGCTGACTTGGTATTGTACATCTAATTGAGTCGTTTACTTTTGAGTTATTATGATATTTTTCTATTTTAGCACATTCTATTTGAATATAGCATGTTCGTCTTAGTTTCTCTCTATATGCCAAAATCAAAGCATTTGAACAGAATACTAGAAGAATAGGTTAGATTGAACATGCCTGCTCTCTGCCAAAAACTGAAAATTTATTAACAAACTGAATTTATTGCTGTTCTGACAGTTATTGATGACTATGCAATGTCCTTGTGTACTCATCCTTCGTAGTTTTCCCTTACTGATACTTATTTTATTTTTACTTCCCTTATATTCCATGGAAACATACACTTTAAAAATGGTATCGTTCTGCATGTGATGGAATTTTATAGTTTTTATATTCTGCAAGTAGAAGACTTGTGTTGTTGATTTTCTTTCAGTTGGTTGGCTGAATTAGTTGTTGTGTTTGCATAATTTCTTAGTCGCAATATGCTAGAGAGGAAACTGGCTGACTCTGAGGTTTCGGAGGAAGAACAAAACAACATTTTGAAACATCTGGAGAAAAAGGAAACAGAATACATGCGCCTTCAGCGGCATAAAATGGGTGCTGATGATTTTGAGCCATTAACAATGATAGGAAAGGGAGCGTTTGGGGAGGTTAGTTTAGCTGATATTGCTAATTTCAAGCTTACCGACTTTGCTCCTTTACTTGTAAATAGTCACTTGGCACATTTGACTTGGCCTGCTGCAGGTTAGAATCTGTAGGGAGAAATCAACTGGCCATGTATATGCCATGAAAAAGCTTAAGAAGTCAGAAATGCTTCGTCGTGGCCAGGTAGTAATTTTTCTGTGCTACAAAACTCACAGATGAATAATAGTTGGAGTTGCTTTGTTTTGATCCCCGTGTTCTTTTTTAAGGTTGAGCATGTTAAAGCAGAAAGAAATCTACTTGCTGAAGTTGACAGCAATTGCATTGTAAAGCTTTATTGCTCTTTCCAAGACGAAGAGTATCTGTATCTAATAATGGAATATCTTCCTGGTGGTGATATGATGACTCTGCTAATGCGTAAAGATACCCTAACTGAAGATGAAGCCAGGTTTTATGTTGCGGAAACAGTTCTTGCAATTGAATCTATACACAAGCACAATTATATTCATAGGTTTGTATTCGAGTGTGTGTGTGTGTTTGTTTGTTTGTTTTTTTTTTTTTTTTTTTTTTTTTTTTTTTACTTTCTTCTGTCTTCTAATGATGAAATTTTGAGAAGTTCTTTTTATTTTCCAGAGATATCAAGCCCGATAACCTGCTACTTGATCGTAGTGGACACATGAAATTGTCGGATTTCGGATTATGTAAACCACTGGATTGCAGTAATATTCAAGGAATGGATTTTTCCGTGGGAAAAAGCTATAGTGGATCTCTTCAAAGCGACGGGCGTCCTGCAGCCCCTAGGCGCACACAGCAAGAGCAACTGCAGCACTGGCAGCGAAATCGGAGGATGCTTGTAAGCATTCTGTTACTGTTGAATCTCATTGCTGTTCCTAGTTTCATTGTTGATTTTATCATTCAAAGCTTCAAGATGATCTTAAAATACTGTTTTCATATTGTAAAAATACAGAAATTCCAATTAGAATCTGTCTAGTATGACTATGTTTGTAATGATAACTCACCATCTTACTCTATGCTTCAAATGCTCGGTGTTTGTAACGATTTACAAGTAGAGAACTGTTGCATATGCCTGGGGTGGCTGTGAATCCCTTTCTAGAATATAAATATGTAAATTATGTGAGATTTCAATTATAAGGTCTCAGTGGAATTGTGTTCAGATCTACTCACTATGTCATTTTTGCAGGCTTATTCAACCGTTGGTACCCCGGATTATATTGCTCCAGAAGTTCTTCTTAAAAAAGGATATGGGATGGAGTGTGATTGGTATGTGCTTGCTTGAATTAATCCATTTCATCCAGGCTTCCAGCAACAAGATATTCTTACTCATCTAATTATTGCACAATATTTTTGCATTAGGTGGTCACTCGGGGCTATAATGTATGAGATGCTTGTTGGGTATCCACCTTTCTATTCAGACGAGCCCATGTCTACATGCCGAAAGGTAATTCATACCGTTGGTGGGCCTAATTTGTTGCCTTTCTTTGTTAATTGTGTGTAGATTTACAATGTCATGTCCTGCATTATCAATATCGTATTGTCTCATACCGAAATGCCAAAATTAAAAATAATAGTTTTAGTATCAATATACCGAATTATCGGTATATACCGATATATTGAATACCAAAATATCAGAACTGTATTCGATATTTTCCTTATATGCGGAAATATAAAAAATGTCAACTTGTACATTGTTACCATACGAAAAAGTTCGGTACAGTATAATACCGAACCGGAAATTGCAACATACCAAAATGTTGATATTTTCAGTATTTTTTATTTCAGTAATACTATATTCTTTTCCACCCCTACCCTTTGCTTAAAGGTCCCATGAGATGTTGCAGCGTACTAATTAATTGCATTACTGATAGAATTTCATTATATTACTGATTATATTCTAAAAGTTGTATTTCAAAGAATGCTTTACCGTGGAAAAAATTCTGAACGCTCTTATTTTGCTCGTCTTTAATTTTTCATTTTCTGTTTTTCGTATTGGATGGAAACAGAAAAGCTGTGTTAAAGTAGTTTTACACTTTTACATTGTGTTAGACTTCTATTTAGCAATTTCTTTTAGTATTTCTTCTCAATGATTTGTTATCCATTAATTCTTCAGATAGTAAACTGGAAAACTCACTTAAAATTTCCGGAAGAGGCGAAACTATCACCAGAGGCAAAAGATCTTATCTGCAAACTTCTATGTAATGTAGAGAAAAGGCTTGGTACAAGAGGAGCCGGAGAGATTAAGGTGCACTATCAAATGTCTAATTCAAATCTTCGTAAAGTATTCACAATACCTAGAGAGAGTGTTTTCAAATTGGGGTTTTTACCTTCTTCTCAGGCTCATCCGTGGTTCAATGGAATTGAATGGGATAAGTTGTATCAGATGAAAGCTGCATTCATTCCAGAAGTTAATGGCGAACTTGATACTCAGAACTTTGAAAAATTCGAAGAGGTTTTATCTGTTTTCGGTCATAGCTTATCATGCAACTCTCCTTTCGGAATATCTGTTACTCATTATTCTGATATTTCCGCAGTCTGAGAGTCAGGTTGCATCAAGCACAAAATCCGGTCCCTGGAGAAAGGTTAGTTTATGCTGCCATAAGATACCGATCTTGCAATTTATTTCATTTTACTTTAAATCTTGAAAATTAGATTTTCTTTGCATGAAATAATTCGTTCTTCACTTTCATAGACTGTGTCAAGTGTGTCATAAGATTTGCATATAAACAATTGAAGAATTAGTGTTAAATGATCATCTCAATTAAAAGCTTAAGCTTGAAGGGATATGCATTATTAATTATTATGTAGCTGTCTTTTGTTTAATCTTCATTGTTGATACAGATGCTTTCATCCAAGGATGTCAATTTCATGGGCTACACCTACAAGAATTTTGAAATTGTGAATGAACATGAGGTTGCTGGAATAGGTAATCTGACTCTTGCTCGCACAAACAATCATATATGATGGTTCGATAATCAACATTCTTCATTTAATCAATTGTCTTACTACCAGCTGAATTGAAGAAGAAGAGCACCAAACCGAAGAGACCCACCGTGATGTCCCTCTTCAGTAATAATCCTCCCTCTATTACCATATGATTTTGTTACATTTTAGTATGCAACACACGGTTACACTGTATGTATACATCCTTAATTTTGACACACTCATCCTGCCGACAACAGACGAGGAGCCCAACTCAGAAGACGTTCAACATGCACAAGGAAGCTTTCTTAATCTACTGCCTCCCAAATTAGAAGCCTCGAAACCTGGCGACTCGTAGTACTCGCAAATCTGTCTATAGAAATGCTGCAACGATCTGTTGATAGGACCGGAAGCATTGTTTTTATTAAGATTGTTTTCAAGTGAAGAATCGCGCTTGTTGGAGCTGTTTTCCGTCTGGGGTGTTCTTAAAAGTGTAAGCATCCATGATGAAGGCAGGTTTTGCCCAAAGTCCATATGCTACTGTGTGTAAATTATACATCAAGAATGTAGATACACATTCTTCCATATTTTTTTTAACAGCTTATCGCCCTTGTGCTGTAATTCATGTCTTGTATAATTCTCATAGGGTTTTTTTTTTTTTTTTTTTTTTTTTTTCTAACACATTTCAGTGTTGAGAATGTTATGGGATTTTGCTCGGCCAGTGTTATGGTGTTGTGAGAACATTGTATAATCCACTTTAATCTCCTTGATTTAGTCTTTGAATTGAATTTCTCTCCGATGTATCACTTGTTTGTTTCATTCTCTGTTTTCTTCTCCTATGATGCTTCTGCGCTTCTATATTCCACAGGTTATTGGTTTCTAAGATCGATTGTGGTTGCCATGGTGCGTTTTTTTGATATACAAGCTACAATCTGAGCAGTATCTTCGGTTTGTCGTATGTGCACCTCAAATTTGAACAGCTATGGATAGGATGTTTGTGTTTTACTTTTTTGTGAGACTTTGCTATCGAGGCTGTTTACTTGTGTCTATTATGTTCCTTGAAATGCTAAACTGTTGTGTATTCACTTGTTTGATTGATCCTTACGCCTTCTTGTTCACCGGTTTATTTAAATAAACTCAGTGAGTGTTGGGATTCCTCACTCATAGTGTTAGCTCGTTTGATTGCTTATGTTTTTAGTTTAGAACATGGTATTAGAGCTAATATCGATCCTTTTGGTGTAGGTTTGCTTCTTCTCACCTGGCATTTTGTGGATACTTCTCCTCTGTTGGTTTGCTCTCTTTTACTCTGTAGAGTAATTTCTTCTGTGTTATTTTTTTCACGGACTAATATAACCGACTGCTCCAAGAGTGAGTAAATAGCTAATAGCCAGTGCTTTGTGCCTTATTTATTTTCTCATTTTTCCTCGTCTCTGTTTCTGGTTTGTAAATGCAGAGTGGTAAAGTGCAATTCTAGGTATGTCCAATAATCCTTTATTTGCATTCATCGAATTCATCCAACATTACTTTGATATGGTGTGATTTGACTGACAGGCTGTGAAAACTACTCTATCCGGAGAAGATCAATGAAAAGAAATGAAGATCCCTCTACTATTCTACGCGTATGTGGTTTATTCGAGCACAATAATGTCTTATTCTGCTTCCCTTAATATGTCACTAACACTTGATTTTTTGTGATTAGCTCATCAAGCTTCTCGGCGACGAAAAGAAGTGAAGATCCCTCTCAATTCAGTACTGCAGGTGTGTCTTTAACTATACTTCAGCAATATTACTTGTTGTTTATGTGTGTGATAAAAGTCATGTGACTGAGCTATGATCTATTTCTAATCGACCATTACTTGTAGCTTTCCAACATAAAATACTGCTAGTGTTCTTGAGTGTGGAAACTTTTGTCTGGCGGATAGAATTGTCTTAGAAAATATTTTAAAAGTCCCGAGTTTCACACTCAATCTTCTCTCTGTTGCAAAGCTTACATCCCTTTGGACCATTAGTGTTAACTTCCTTAAAGATACTTGGACATTCAAGACTCTCAAAGTACAAACATCCCTTGTAGATCAATTGGTGAGACCTTACCCTCGTAAGGTCCCGGCTTGATCTTGGGTGGGTGCATATGTTGTGAATATGTGTGGGGTAAAACAAAAGTAGAAACATTTGTTGGGAATACACAAGGGAAGATAAAGAAAAACAAATAGCAAGACACGAGAATTTAATGTGGTTAGATCTCACAACAGACTTACATCCACGATCTTAAAACGGGATAATCCACTGAAATATTTATTACAATTTTTTGCACGGACAAAATTGTAGAACCCTCCTCAGAATAACTAACCAAATCTCAATTTCACTCTCTCTAGTTAATAAAAAAGAGTTTGTTGTCTTGTCTTAAAACAAGACCCAGAGGTCAATTTATAGGAGCTAATGCCCCCACTTTTTTTTATCACACTTCATATGTGGGACATGAGAAGTTATACAACAAATCCTTCATCTTCCCATAGTCTCACATATTTCGACCATGTCAAAAAAACAAACTCTCTTCTCGATTTTTTGATTCTTCATATCATTGTTGTTCTCCACATTTGCTCACTCTGGATGATAGATGTTGTTTTGTTTCTTCCATAATCAAGCTGTCACCCCTTGTACACTTTGTATAGATTTTTAGTGCCAACATATCTATGTCCATGTAAAACTAACTCGCCAAATGAAAAAACATTAGCTCCAACAGTAGGCACATACCTCATATTAAAAATTGTTTTGACATTACGATTGTGGAGCTTCAAGCGAACTCTTCCAATGCCTTCAATTCGCTACTTCATTTTATTCCCCACATTGATATAGCAAAAATCTCTCTTTGTATGCAAAGTTTCAAATAAAGCTTGATCTTTACATATATGGACATCGACAACAGAATCTATCACCCAATTAGAATTCTCAACAGGATTTGTATTTAAAAGAAGTAAATCACCTTTATAACTGACCACGTTTGCGGAGTTCTAAACTTTTGATTTACCCTTCAAATTTCTCAAACTTCTCAAGTCTTCTTTAAAAAGTCGACAGTGATTTTGAATGTGACCAAGCTCTCCACAATAATGACACTCAATAGAGCTTTAATCTCTCGCCGAAATTTCGATCTTCTGGTCACTTTTCATTTTCCTCCCTCTTTCAGAATCCCTCACAGCTAGTATTTGATTCTCATTTAAAGTGTCTTCATTTTTCATTATCTTGTCATTCTCCTTCAAGACCGTTATCATCTCATTCAATTTCAATGTAGTTTTCCAACCAACATTGACTGCACCAACGGCTTGTAGGATTTGGGCTGAAGCTAACAAGAGCAACGCTTGCTCTTCCTCTTTAATTTCCTCTCCTGCATTCAACAATCGACATACTAGCTCATTAAACTTGTTAGTATGGTCAATTATATTACCTCATCCCTCCATCTTCAAAGAGTATAGATCCATCTTCATAATCAGGCGGTTAGTCAACGTATTCGTGGCAAATTTACTCTCCAAAGTATCCCACAACCTCTTCGGCGATGTTTCCGTCAACACAATAACCTTTATCTGCGGGGTAAGTGCCAATCGAATCGTGCTAACACCCTTTTTCCAGATCAAACTTTAATCACCTTTTTTTATACCTTCTGGTTTTACATCTTCCAAGGAAACATCAAGACCTTGTGTACCAAATAGTCTTGAGTTGTGCTTTGCCACAGTAAAATCACTCTTTCCATCAAAGAGCAGAACCTCATATTTCAAAGTAGTGGACATAGTGTTTAATAACTCTCCAATAAACAAGCATTTCCAACAACCAATTAAACTAAGGCTCAAAATTAAAACTAGGAACTCAAATCAGGCAGAACCGACCTTTCTGGCAGAAATCTGAACCCGCTGCGTAACTGCAACCTGGACTGCCGGTGTGCCGTCAACTTCTCTCGAAACACCTCTTGCTCATTCTCTTCTCCCTTCACCAAAACCTCGCTAAAAAATGACCTCGCTCTGATACCACTTGTTCGGAATGCATAAGGAAAGATAGAGAAAAACAAATAGTAAGACACGAGAATTTAACGTGGTTTGGTCTCACAACAGACCTACATCTATGATTCCAAAACGGGATAATCCACTAAAATATTTATTACAATTTTTCGTACGGACATAATTGTAAAATCGTCCCCACAACAACTCACCAAATCTCAATTTCACTTTCTCTAGTTACTAAAGAAAAAAGATTTGGTATCGTGTCTTAAAACAAGACCCAAATGGGTCAATTTATAGGAGTCAATGTCCCCACATTTTTATCACACTTCCTATGTAGGACATGAGAAGTTACACAACATCGAGTTGGTAAGCAAGATGTGGTGGCCTAGATACAGTGTGAAAAATTATACCTTGTGGCACTTGCATCTTGGTCACCTTAACTTAAATGCTTTAAAGTTTCTAAAATTTGACCTCAAATTGAATGATTTCCGAACTTGATATAGTGTGTGATGTTTGCGGGAAGGCTAAAAAACTCGGCAGTCTTTTCTCTCTAATAATCATGAGTAAAAGAGTAAATTATATAACCCTATTTTTTATATTAGTAAAAATACACAAAACACCTTATATTTTATTTATTGCGTGACATTTCTTTGCGTTAATTTAAAGTTTGCAAAAAACACCCTCTTGTTCAAAGCTGATGTTTGATTCTAAATAAAAATTGAAATTACGCAAGTTTAAACCCTTAAAATATCAACACCTATTCATATCACATTAAATAGTTGTGTATTTTTACCATGTCTATTTGTGTTTGTTTGAAAGATTTGGATAGATTTGTACTATTCACATTAATTTTTCTTTCCATAAACATCAAATCAAATATTCTTTTTGATATACTTCCTCCGTCCAAATTCTATTGTCCTGAAGTATATTTGCACGGTTTTTTAGGTGATTGTCTTTTTGTTATGAATGGACAAATTTGCCCTTAAGTGTGTGGTAGAGATTAAAAGTAATAAATGAATGAAAGGTAAAAATGTAAAATTTGTGTTTAAATAAGAAAATAGGACAATAGTTGTTAGACGTCAGAAATAGGAAAGTAGGATATTAGTTTATGGACGGAGGGAGTATTATTTTAAAAATGAATTTTACATTCAAAAGATCACATCAACACCTATTTGTATCACATCATACAACTATTCCAATTCAAAATTTTTACTATTTAAATCTCAACCCAAAATTCAAAGCCCAAGACAAACACACGCTTGGTATATTTCTAGCATTCAATTATATATCACTTAGATCAATTGAAGAAAACCGTTAGAAGTTTGGGCCATGATAGTCCATTGGATTAAGGCCCAACCGATTCTAATTGTTGATCTAAACCGCTGCTTCATTCTTAACACAGTGCACCACTTTGTGTTATGATTCATTTTAGAAATCAAATTTCTTTCCTTATTTATTGTACCCACAATGATAGTTTCTCTCTGTGGCTTTTGTTATTGGGGTTTGTTTTCTTCATTCAACATTTAGTTGTAGTCTATGGAAATCGAAGGGTCCATTTAGGGTGTGTTTGTTTGAGAGTTTAGATTTTGAGTGATGATTTGAATAGTAAAAATTTTGAATTGTACTAATTGTATGACATGATATAAATAGGTGTTGATGTGATATTTTGAATATAAAATTAATTTTTAGTATAATATAAAAAATGAAAAATAAGTTGATTTGATATTTTTTGAGGAAAAAATTGGATAAATAGTAGAATTTTGGAGAAATTCTCCAAACGAACACACCGTAAGAGTCTTCGTTCAGTG